ACGGTATGATTGAAGCAAGATATACAGGTAGGTCAGACATGTATGTGAATGAGTTTGGGTGGATATGGACACAAGCTGCCTCGTTGTTGTTAAAGATTCGCTACCTGGAACAAAAAGTTCCAAGTAACACGGGCTATGATGAGCCCGTAGATAGTTATAAGCTGCCTCGTATAGGCCAGTAGAGCATCTGTAGTTTTCTTAGTTCTTATGTAAGCCTCGAGGAGCTCAAACAGCTGCACTTAAGCTGTGGACAACTTGACTAAGATACTGCTTGAGAATGGCACGCCAGCAACGTGTCCACACCTAGTGAAGCCCAAGCTGAAACTTGCCGTGTCATCTGGCACACCTGGTCACACACCTCCTCTCACAGCTGGTACACCTGGTCCCACATCTGCTCTCACAGCTGGTACTCTTGGTCATACACCTGCTCTCACAGCTGGGACTTTTGGTTACACACCTGCTCTCACAGCTGGTACACATGGTCCCACATCTGCTCTCACAGCTGGTACACCTGGTCCCACATCTGGTACACCTGATGTCACACCTGCTGTGTGTGTGTGTGTGTGTGTGTGTGTTATAAGTAATATCATATTTTATCATCACTCACTATGCAAAGTATTTATTTATCCATTATTCAAGTTTAACACAAAAAAAAATCCTAAATCTCATTGCAGTTCAATAATATACACGAAAGAGTTGAGACTAGCGAATTATACACTAAATTAATCCCGTTACAATTGGTATTTTTCTCCCAGTGACAATTTAAATGTGAAAGCGAGGCTACTGGCAGGAATGTTTGCTCCCAGTCTGACGTTGATGTAGCAGCTTTGGGAAGGTAGAGAATGTGTTCAAATCGCATTTCAAGACAACTTTTATTTATCTCTGGCATAAAATATTGGTCAGTGATTCATTTTTTCCCGCCCACACGGAAGCTTACAGCTCGCTGGTCGAAGCGGAAGGTAGCCTAATGTAACTTAATTTCATCTAACTTGAGACTAATGTAACGTAGCCTCACCTAATCTAACTCTTTTTAACCTCAGCGTAACCTATCCTATCCTTATAGGTCTCATGGTGAATTGTGTCGTTTAGAAGTGAGTGGTAAACTCTTTATTGGGTGTAAGGATGACGTGGAAAATCACTAAAATCTGTAAATTGAAAGAATGGGCGTTAACTACAAGGTAGTTCACACGGGAACTACATAGTTTGACTTGCCTATAACAGCTAACTATTCATCTGCTAGTAACTACTCATCTACAAGGTAGTTTACACAGGAACTACATAGTTTGACTTGCCAGTGCCAGTATCACTTGTGGCTTGATAGTGACATAACTGCTACTTGTAACTTCTTAAGAATGATTATCCCTTGCGCTTGTTCTTAACGGGGTGTATCCTCGACTCACACTTTAGAGACCCGGGTTTGATGCCCGGCGAGACCAGAACCAATTGGGCAAACCTGATGCCACTTTTCACCTACCAGTAAATAAGTACTCACCAAGTGTATGTAATAAATAGTAGGTATGATGAAGACACACACACACACACACACACACACACACACACACACACACACGTGTGTTCCTGGATACCAATGCAAATGAGTATCTGGCCTGACCTTCTCTCCAGGAGTCGGCGCGGTGTCGGTCATTTCATCACCTCTTGTGGTCTCAGCACAGCCCTTGCCCTCCAGGACGACCTTCTGGCAACTGGCAGCTGGCAAGTGCTCAGTTTCCACTTGCCTGGAAAGTGCTAAGTTATGGTTTTACGGTAAATGCTCCACCATCTTTCTCCGCTGTGCCCTAGGCTTCACTACCCCGCCCCCAGCGCCCTAGGCTTCACTACCCCTCCCCCAGCGCACAAGAACGTTACCATATTATCTACCGTAATTGACTAATTGCTTGAATTGACTGATTCGTACGCTTCTAGTTAGGCAAAACCACTTCGAAACTGACGCTTGTCATATCGTAGACATGACTGCGATAGAACACGGCCCAACTGTCCCTCACGTTCGATGCGTCGTATGTAAACGCTTCGAATACCAGCTGGAGATGTATGCGCACCTAGCTATTAGCAAATATAAAGATTTTCACTCTAATCAGAGTGCCCCAGTGCCCCTATACCGTCTTGGGGCACTAAGGACGCTGGGTACGCGTTGTCACACAGGCCCGGTGTTCTGGTATTGTAGATCAGTGAACTAAACTGTATGGTGATTGCCGGAACACCCGTGGACACCTTCAAGAGAAAACTGGATAGTTTCCTCCAAGAAGTGCCGGACCAACCGGGGCTGTGGTGGGTATGTGGGCCTGCGGGCCGCTCCAAACAACAGCCTGGTGGACCAAGCTCTCACAAGTATATTTAATAATAATATCTAATATGTATCTAATAAATTCCTAAACGATGAAACTGTATATAGTTTAGCATGTACAGTACTACAAGCTTAGTCTAGTTTTAGCTAGTCCTGCTTAGGCTAGGTTAGGTTAAGCATGATTAGGTTTTGTTTTAAAACCCATCGGCGAAAGTTCTTTTGTTCACTGACATGTATGCTCAAGTATTCTATGAATTTTCTCAATTATATATTACGATAACGTGATTTCTCTGTGTATGCCTTAGGAATTAAATTTAAACACTAATTTACAACAACATTTAATAATAAGTACGGTATTTCCTTTAGGGCAGCATTCTGCTCGATGATAAAAAATCATCATGGAATATTATACCAAATTATTATATCGAAGTGAATATTTTAATTATTACCCCTAATTTTAAGATATAATGGGATGTGCCTAAATTAGTCCTAGATCCCTCCAGGAAACGAAAAACCATCACCTGAAATGCACAGGGAAATTATATATATATATATATATATATATATATATATATATATATATATATATATATATATATATATATATATATATATATATATATATATGTCGTACCTAGTAACCAGAACGCACTTCTCAGCCTACTACGCAAGGCCCGATTTGCCTAATAAGCCAAGTTTTCATGAATTAATTGTTTTTCGACTACATAACCTACCTAACCTAACCTAACCTAACTTTTTCGGCTACCTAACCTAACCTAACTTATAAAGATAGGTTAGGTTAGGTTAGGTAAGGTTGGTTAGGTTCGGTCATATATCTACGTTAATTTTAACTCCAATAAAAAAAAATTGACCTCATACATAATGAAATGGGTAGCTTTATCATTCCATAAGAAAAAAGTTAGAGAAAATATATTAATTCAGGAAAACTTGGCTTATTAGGCAAATCGGGCCTTGAATAGTAGGCCGAGAAGTGCGTTCTGGCTATTAGGTACGACATATATATATATATATATAAAACCCGATACGCCTTTGTTAATCCCTGTCACACTATTCAACACTGTTTAAGGTTTGACCGAAATTATAAATATAGACTTAATCCTGCCCGACTTGAAACTTAACGGTTGTCACAGGAGCACAATTGGCGCAACCAGCGTAAGAGAGATTAAATTGTTCATTTAATATAAATCTAATTAATTAAAAATACAAAATGATAATGGACCAAAAAACTATTTTTTTTAGTAACTAATTTTTGGCTATTTTTTTAATCCTCAAGATTTACCGAGGATTGAACTCGGTAGTACAAGGCCCTATCCTAATTAATTTGTTTTTTACCTCTTATAAGCGTGGCGATAATTCCAGTTACGTTTGCCTCTAACAACCCGTCTTCGACTCAAGTCCATTCCATCCAGCGGTCGACCCCACAAACGCATTCAATACAGACTCCCGTCAATTAGAAAATTGGAAGGTTGGACGGAGTAGCAAAAGCCAATCATAAATATAATTATAATTTAATTAATTCAAACTTAAATCCGACCAACCTTCACTTCACATGTAGGGGAAATATACAGATTTCCTGACAGAATTGTTTTTTTATTTTGAAGACTCAAAGTTTTGCTTTTATCATATTAAATACTCTGTTAGTTATAGGACAACTCAGGGGGGATGCACATTCTACATTTTAGTTTGTTAATTGTTTAGCAGAAATATTAATAATATGTAAATAAAGAAAATCGAGTCTGAAACGTACGATTATTCATTTGTCTTAATTCCAAGTCTTTTTTACCTCACAAAAGTTTTGAGAAGTCGCTCATCAAGTTCTTTTTTATATAGAGATCATTGATAACATTGACATCACTGACCTTGATTGCGATATATTCATAAGAACCACGTGTTCCCAAGGGCACTATCATTATAGGAATTAGAGTCAGCAGAACGAGGGAACAGAATCTTTGTTACATCAATAAAGCTAATTAGACCGCAGTCCACTAGTTTATTGACAAACTCGTCTATGAAAGCTCTCTAATTTTTAAACTCTCATAATTTGTGGAAATATTGATAATACGTGTCTACTAATGCCATCAGAGTGCGTGGGTTTTTCTACTAAAAAAGTAGAAAACTAAATTTTCTACTTTTCTACTACTGGTTTTAACAACTCCATTAATAAATAATAATAATAATAATAATAATAATAATAATAATAATAATAATAATAATGCAATTTCTATCAATAAAGAGTACCAATGATATAAAATAATACGTGAAGAGATGAAATAAACACAGCTATTAACTTCAGCGGTTGGAAACTGGAAAACACAGGAAATAATGAATGACAGAAAGCCTTAAAAAACCAGTAATAATAATATTGAAATAATTCGACAAGAGATTATACATACCAAAGTGGATCAGAGCGAATTGGCAAACCCTACAAAACAAATTGAAAATCCCAGTAAACACCATAAAAAACTAGATGATTTGGAAGAATTAATAAACAGGGGAAAAAAAAGAAAAAGAAAATGGAAACAAAAGCGTAGTTAAGAAAATAGAAGAGCGGAACATGAGGCGGACAGGACAAAAAGAGATTAGAGTGACAAGGTTTTAGTCTGGGATCTAAGAGGGATCCCAAGAGCAGGTGGGCAAGCAGGTTCCTCTTACCTGCTGGGGCAGTGGCGCCCGGGCGGTCGGAGGGGAAGGACGTGCGCGCGGTCCGCTCACCCCTGACCACGCCTGACTTAAATCCCGCGTGTGTATGTGTGTTGTATAGACTACAACAGGTCATTCCCCGGATCTATACATTAAAAACGAGTGAGGAAAGAGTTGGAATGAAAGCATACGCGTGCAACTGGGGGGGGGGGGTGTGTTTTTTAAGAGAGGTTTGACCATATGACCGCTGGATGGTGGGGTCATTGCTGTCCACACTCGAAAAAGAATGGAAATCTGTCAACATCTTGTATACAAACAGTGTAAACTCAGTGTCTTGAACAATCCACTTATACTGTCGGGTCGTGATGTGTCTGTGAGGATGTAGACTAGTGGCTCGCCCGCTCTTAGCTCTCATGTGTTAAGTTTACCTTACTAGAACGGCAGATACTTGGGAAATGAAAAACTAGTTTGCTGGTAAACTTTAATATAAACTGTACGGAGATGAGTTAGCTACTGGTATTCCTACAGAATATTCGCTGAATAGTGCGCTAAATGGAGACCGGGTTACGGTGTATACTGAGCTTGATATAGAGACCGGACTACGGTGTATACTATGCTTGATATAGAGACCGGACTACGGTGTATACTGTTCTTGATATAGAGACCGGACTACGGTGTATACTGTGCTTGATATAGAGACCGGGCTACGGTGTATACTGTGCTTAATGCAGAGACCTCGCCCCGGTTCATCAGATACGCTTGTGAACCAAATTGCAGTAATTCTTTCCTATAGCGTCACATTGTAGGATTTTGAAGGTTTTGCCGGTCATAAATCCTTCAGAGCTATCATTGGAAGAACTCTGACGATCCCAATTAGTAAATATATATATATATATATATATATATATATATATATATATATATATATATATATATATATATATATATATATATATATATATATATATATATATATATATATATATATATATATATATATATATATATATATATATATATATGTAGGAAGTGTTCTCTACAGTATTTTTGTTTATATAAAGCCAGTGTCGAAATCACTATACAGTTCTGGGCAGGGTAGAAGGACTAGGCACCGTTCATTCCCTGTTGGACCCTGTACACCCAGCAGTAAATTTGGTATCCGGATGTGAAACGAAAGGCTTATCGCATTGTAGGGAAAACAAGCCACTGGATTTCCTAACCGGTTACAGGTCGTTCCCCTACGTATTTAGCGTAGGGGAGGAACGTTTAGAGAGTATGTAGCCTCCCCTGTTGGCTAAATACCAACATTCATGAAAATCACAATACAGGCATCATGGGTTTTGTATACCAGAGCTAAATGCTGTGATTGACCACTTTATCACTTGTGGCACAGTTACGCACCGTTGATATTTCTTCTCCCATTAGTGAAGCAGAAAATGGAATTCTAGTTATGTCTAACGATGCGAGTCTAAGGGACTGTAATTCGTGGCTTCTGAATATCAGGAAATGTAATTCGGGGCCTCAGAATAACAGCAACTGTAATGGGTGACCTCAGAATAACAGCAACTGTAAAGGGTGACCTCAGAACAACAGCAACTGTAATGGGTGACCTCAGAACAGCAACTGTAATGGGTGACCTCAGAATAACCAACTGTAATGGGTGGCCTCAGAATAACAGCAACTGTAATGGGTGGCCTCAGAATAACAGCAACTGTAATGGGTGGCCTCAGAATAACAGCAACTGTAATGGGTGGCCTCAGAACAGCAACTGTAATGGGTGACCTCAGAACAACAGCAACTGTAATGGGTGACCTCAGAATAACAGCAACTGTAATGGGTGACCTCAGAATAACAGCAACTGTAATGGGTGACCTCAGAATAACAGCAACTGTAATGGGTGACCTCAGAATAACAGCAACTGTAATGGGTGACCTCAGAACAACAGCAACTGTAATGGGTGACCTCAGAATAACAGCAACTGTAATGGGTAATCTCAGAATAACAGCAACTGTAATGGGTGACCTCAGAATAACAGCAACTGTAATGGGTAATCTCAGAATAACAGCAACTGTAATGGGTGACCTCAGAATAACAGCAACTGTAATGGGTAACCTCAGAATATCAACAGCTATTATTGTTGGCCTGAGAATAAAAGGCATTTTTATTGGTTGCTTCAGAATAACGAGCATAGTCACTCCGGCTCGGTGCTTTCTTTTGATAATTACTTCAGAACAACGAAGTGGATTTATGATCTCAAAATAACAGGAACTGTTATTGGTGGCCTCAGAATAACAGGATCTGTTAATGGTGGTTCTCAGAATAACAGGAACTGTTACTTGTATCTTCAGAATAACAGGATCTGTTAATGGTAGTTCTCAGAATAACAGGAACTGATTGATTGCTAAGAAAAACTAAAAGTGATTGGTGGCCCTAATTCTCAGGCCACCAATTAAAAAATCTTTGGGGGTTGTCTAAGAATTAAGCCACCACCCAAAAAAAAATCACGAAGTATTAATTTTTCGGCGGACTAAGAATGTCAGTAACGGTGATTGCTCTAAGAATAACAGGAACAGTGATTGATGGCCTAAGAATAACAAGAATTCCGAATGTCTTGTCTGGAGGGTCTGTCGTTGAAGGCTCATCCACTTTAGGCACTGGAACGCGGCCATGTCTTGCCCCCAACAGCAAATATTTTATCCCCGCTTATGATTTATGAAGCATTTATGCGCCAGTGTAACTTTTGAGAGGAGGCTTGTCACAGACAACAACTTGAGCTTTATAGGTTATCTCTTAATGGAGTCTGTCAGACCTGAATGTGGAATGGGAAGCCTACTCGAACCGTGATGGGTGAGGTTGATGATTCCTTTCCATCACGCATGCGGTAACCGGGATAAAGTAGGGGGGGGGGGTAGAAATAGCCTAAGCTACTCTATCCCTTTGAGATGTAATTCTTTCTAGTCTCAATAAATATACTTGAACCGGGATAATGCTTATATGTCTATATATTTTTTGCTGTTGAAGTTGATATCTACGTCAGGGGTAATCAAATCTCCCTAATGAAGAACCAGGGCGGGTAAAATACACAACTATGTACACGTTAACTCATAATTTGTAACAATATTTAAGCAATGTCAAAGGAGTCCTGTATTCATGCGCCTGTCAGAAAGGGGTTTAGTGGTTTTATTTCCCATAATTTGTTGGGGAAACACACATAAGTAGTGAGATGTTAGATAAAGCATGCCACTTTGAACGTTAGGAACAAAATGGTGTATGCCATGTTAGCTTATATTTGCCGCATGTGGTTTTGTTAAATATGGACCCAACCATTGGACAGTATGTTAGCGACGCGGCAGTTTGCTAATGACCGGAAAATATGCTAATGACCCAACACTATGTTAACAACCAGTCAGTATGCTAATGACTCGACAGAATGCTCGCGACCCTGGGGTATGCTAACAAAGTATGCTGACGGCTCGACAGTAAGATGACTATTTGGTAGAATACAAATCGGGTAACAGTATACTAACGTATGAAAGTTATGATTATTGCACCACGTCCTCATGTTATATGTGATTATTATTATATAATGCTTATTAAAATGTTATATAGGCTAGTGTAAATAACACCTTACCTAGCTGGCTTTGGGTAGCCTAGTATAGATAACACCTTACCTAGCTGGCTTTAGGTAGCCTAGTATAGATAACACCGTACCTAGCTGGCTTTGGGTAGTCTAGTATAAATAACACCTTACCTAGCTGGCTTTGGATAGTCTAGTATAGATAACACCTTACATAGGTAGCTTTGGGTAGCCTAGTATAGATAACACCTTACCTAGCTATAGCTTTGTGATGCCTAGTGTAGAATACACCTTAACTGGTTCTTGTTATATAGCTTAGTGTAAAATAGGCCTCACCTTGGGAGCCGGTCGGCCGAGCGGACAGCACGCTTGACTTGTGATCCTGTGGTCCTGGGTTCGATCCCAGGCGCCGGCGAGAAACAATGGGCAGAGTTTATTTCACCCTATGCCCTTGTTACCTGGCAGTAAAATAGGTACCTGGGTGTTAGTCAGTTGTCACGGGCTGCTTCCTGGGGTGGAGGCCTGGTCGAGGACCGGGCCGCGAGGACACTAAAGCCCCGAAGTCATCTCAAGATAACCTCAAGATAGCTCTTGCTGTGTAGAAGAGTGTAAATTACATCTTACGTAGCCGTTGATATCTAGTCTAGTGCAGAATACACCTTGAGTTGCCCCTTGTTATATAACTTAGTGAAAAATACACATTACCTAGCCCCTAACTATATGCAAACTTGGTTTGTAGATTTGATTTCGAAATGAACGTATTCTTTAGTATGTTAAACTGTAAATCTACGAAGCAAACATTAGTGGAGGCCTACAAATAGTATATTGTCGTATATGAAGAAGAGTGCTAGTGGATGATCACTGTTATCCTGAATTATAACAAGCTGTAGGTAACAAGACATGTTAACGTAACAAAGCTTTCGTCATAGGGGGGTAGAAATAGCCTAAGCTACTCTATCCCTTTGAGATGTATTTATTGCTTATCTCAATAAACATACTTGAACTTGAATTGAACTTGCTTTCGTCATTTATAGCCTCCCTTTGAACGTGGGGTCACTCATCTTAGCGTGTATTCTCTAAACGCTAAGAGAAAGGGCGACTGACAGACAGGCGGGCAGATTGAAATAGCCGCAAGATGTAATCAGTTTCAAGGTCTGGCTGGCGGGACAAAGGCAGGAAGTGGCGTTGTGTTAGAAGGGTGGTGTAGCCTGCTGGGAATGCCGTGGCAGGTTGGTTCCTAAGACCATTAGTGTCAATACTATGACGACAACGGTTATGGAAAGGTTACCTGACGCTTCCGTCGCTAGGTGTGGAGAGCTGGTGGGAGTGCAGCACTTGGCCTGGATGATGGATCCCGTGACAGTGGTTAAATAGTGGATGAAAGGAAGTAGTTTTGGTGGATTGGAAGGTATGGAGCAGTGGTCTGTTCCCACTGCTGATAGCACTTTTTTCGTTGGTAATCTTGGAATGCTGCAAGACAGCTGTAGGATTTGTTTGCTGACAAATTACAGTCTACTATTCATTGTTGGTTATGGATTTTTGCTGAAATATATATATTATAGCAAGAAAGCATTTTCCTAGTAATTTAAAACCTTTATATATAATGACGGCTAATTTGCTTCATAATAAATTAGGTGTTGCATTGAGACGGATGGGTAATGTAGAGTTTCAAAAATCAAGGGAATTAGCGTTACCTCCTAAATAAAGAATTAAACTGTTTTGATTTTATGGTATTAGGCTGGGTACTCTGAGCGATAATGGGAGAGTTAATGCCGTAGCCCACCAATCCTATTCCTTAAGCGGTAGTCGGAGTTACACTCATTGCCCCCCCATAACCGTCCCTTGAGCGGCAGTGGAATACTGTAGTTAAATCCATAGTTCCTATTCTCTTTAGCGGTAGGGAAAGAGTTACTGCCATAAACCCCCATACCCATTCTTGAGCGATAGGGGAAGAGTAATAGGCACATGATAGGTTTTGGGAACGGGTCCTGAGTCTTTATGCAATATAAAGTTAATGTAACTTATTATTTATAATACTAGAAAGTTGGAATATTCAGATAAGACTTTTGTAAAATGATATTATGGATGAAATATTTAGAAAGTTGTTTTAGCTTTGTGATATACTTGTCACTAGATTAAATAGGATGTCATAAAATGAAATGGAATTCTCACTAGGCTTGATTAGCATTATCACTATGCAAAATAGAATTCTCGGCAGGCTTAATTGCGTTCTTAGGCAAAACATAATTGTCAAGGGACTAATTATAATTTTGTCTAAGCAATAATTAAGGTATAGTGGCATACTAGTACATTCAATTCTGTATACTTTATACATATTTCTAATATGTCAATCATGTGACTGTGAAAATCGAGTGAAATACGAACAAAGGGCGGCTGTTCCTATTGATAATCCATAAATCGGATGGAAGTATTGAGTTTTATACTTTAACAGGCAAGATATATAAATGTGATACTAACAGCATCGAACAGCAAGTAACATGGTTATTGCAGACGCAGTTCGGTGTCTGCACTTGAAGGCTTAAGGTGGGGGAAAAAATAGATCCATGATAATGCTAGGTATACAACTCCAATCTACCTCAATGGCAAAAGTTCCTTCAGTATATCATAAGTACTTGATAAGCCTTTTGTACCAGTTTTCTCTGGAGTGACTTTAAAAGAGTTGAAAAGCACGTATTGGTAGATGAAGTGCCCGAAGCCTCGTGTGGAAGTTGGCATGATAAACAGGACTCAACCCGGGCCGCCTACCATGGAACGTCTTGACCTGAGGAAGAAAAGGGTCGGCACCACTGCCAAGAGTCATAACGCTAAGGTAAGGTATAGTAGGACCTTCGTTTACTAGGGATAGCATGAGTTAAAAGAAAAATTAAATGCGAGTAAACTGACTAGTTAAAAAAAAACAAATTCTGAGCTTGTGGTTTTTGTAAGTCGCATGTTGGCTTATTTAACGTTGTTTGATAAGATTTTTCGAATGTGTGGCAGCACATTCAACAGATTGATGAAGATTAAGCCACCCAAAAGATAGCACGGGCATGAATAGCACGTAAGTGGTGGCCCTTTTGAGCTATTAACAGTATCAAGAGCTGATATTGGAGATCTGTGGAGGTGCGACTGCACCCTGCGTGACGGGAGATGTCTCCCACATTCAACACATTGAGTTCGTAATTAGTATGACATAAAAACAACAAAATATCACGTTTATCGTTCATTTATACTATGAATAAATATCATGGGAGGTTTTTGATGTTAACTTTTTTGGGGAGGGGGGTTTAATATGGATATGCCTGACAAAGCTCATAGTAGCACGACTAGGTCTACTGAAAAAAAATGAAATGCAAAGTTGAATTTGTAATTACTGTATCAAAACAACCCGTTCTCTCACCTGAAGAAAATGCAAAGTAATAGTAATAATTAAAGGACCTTAATGTTGATGTTATTAACAGGCAAACTAGCATGCAATAAATAGTGACTCGGAATGAACATTGGCAAACCAGCCTGGGGCCAGATTCACGAAAGCACTTATGCAAGCACTTACGAACGTGTACATCTTTCCTCAATCTTTGACGGCTTTGGTTACATTTATTAATCCGTTTACAAGCATGAAAACTTCCCATTCAACTGTTGTTATTGTTATAAATAGCCTCCTGGTGCTTCGGAGCTCATTAACTGTTTAATAATTGTAAACAAAGCCGCCAAAGAATGACAAAAGATGTACTGGTTCGTAAGTGCTTTCGTGAATCTGGCCCCTGGAATAATTATGCTGCCGACTTGAAGGACAAACGCATTTTTTGGAGCAACCTTTGGAAGGAAGCGTGCTGCTAGAAAGAAGATTGGGTGGAATTGAACGTATCGCGATAACCTGTTTTCATCAGGTAAATAATACGATCGATTGAAAGATATCGGAATCAGATCAATGCTTGCGAAACGTTTTGAGGCACAAATTCTATGTTTTGAGGAGAAATTAACTGTTTGTAATTATACTATTATTAAGAAAGTCTTGAGTACCCTTGATACATAGTCAATGTACGAAATATTTTGAAGGAAAAATAAAACATGTTCTCTAGAATGGTAGATATGTATTTGCCGTTAAACATATGTATTCTGGTCTTCGACATATATACTAGTATATATATATATATATATATATATATATATATATATATATATATATATATATATATATATATTAGGTACGACATATATATATATATATATATATATATGTCGTACCTAATAGCCAGAACTCACTTTTCAGCCTACTATTCAAGGCCCGATTTGCCTAATAAGCCAAGTTTTCCTGAATTAATATATTTACTATAATTTTTTTCTTATGAAATGATAAAGCAACCCTTTTCTCTATGTATGAGGTCAATTTTTTTTATTGGAGTTAAAATTAACGTAGATATATGACCGAACCTAACCAACCCTACCTAACCTAACCTAACCTATATTTATAGGTAAGGTTAGGTTAGGTAGCCAAAAAAAGCTAGGTTAGGTAGGTTAGGTAGACGAAAAAACATTAATTCATGAAAACTTGGCTTATTAGGCAAATCGGGCCTTGAATAGTAGGCTGAGAAGTGCGTTCTGGCTATTAGGTACGACATATATATATATGACATCAACACTGGCGTTAGATATATGTACTTTGGTGTTAAGACATCAAGTATATGGTTTAGAGCCTCAAACATAATGGAGTGCGACGAGAAGAACATTTAGTTTTTCTGAGTGCGAGAATTATTACAATGAATTTGTCTAAAATGCGTTTTAGGCCTGATAGTATTGCCTGAAACGCTATGCGTACTAGTGGCTTTAGTTATTGTATGTACTACCTCTATCTTTAAATCAAACAGAATGTTTGTACTGTAACTCTGCAACCCATCCTCCGAATTGACAGTACGATTTAATACTAAGTGTAATAAGTACATTTTCTTACTGTCATAAACAGTGCATAATTGCACTTATGGGGCTGTTACATTTACCCAACCCCCTCCCCCGATTTAATTCTCCTCATTTTCTGTTAAGACACTTAGAATTTTAGGATGAAGTTTTCAATTTCTATTTGCAATACACAAGTTTTAAATATCAGGAATTTCTTTTTCAGGTTTATTAAACAATATAGATTTTATACAAAATTTAAAAATATCCTGAGTTACTTTACAATTTATTGATATATTTTAGTTTTGTTTTATTAGTTGTATAAAACTGTAATATCAATATAGCTATAGGTTAAGTACTAATTGTAATTAAGAAGCAATAAAATTATTATCTTCAAAAGCTAAGACGGTTAGATGAGGTTGTGGTTTTCTATTCAGTTTTTCAGGTAAACTCAAATATTCACTATATTTGACAGTACGATTTTATAATAAGTGAAAAAAAGTACAATTCCTAACTGCTATGAATAGTACATAATTGGACTTATTTGTCTTCTTACATTTACCACCCCATTTTTGGTGGACGGGCTGAATTATGTATGTACTTTCCTCAATAAATTATTATTATTATTATTATTATTATTATTATTATTATTATTATTATTATTATTATTATTATTCGCTTAACACTTGAAGTATCTACTGGAAATACCGACATGACTGCGTTATAATGAACCTCCCAATTTGGGGATTCATTTTAAAACGCGTGAAACTCTGCAAATGAATATCGTCGATTTTTTTGGCGTTTCTTTTGTTTTTAGAAGCGGCATCCATCCTCTTAAAAACAAAACACACAAAAAAAATCTTGCGCCGCCCTTGAAAAGAGTGACCGTGGCATTAGGCTAGCCAAACCGCTTTGAGAGAGCGGGCCGAGCTTGGTAGCGGCCCCATTGTTACTCCGGTCTCTGGTCTAATGTCAAAGAACCATTAAATTACATCGTTTAGACAGCCAGCTGACGCCGGGGCCTCTTAAGGCATTACACTTATTAAGATGCAGCGAGGCACAGGTAATTCCAGTTTTTTTTTTCTCGTCTCTGTATCCCCCTGGAGCGGAGCGGGGAGTCGAACGTCGGACAGACCGTCAGTGTCGCGCTAGGCTGTCGTACTCCACACACACACACACACACACACACACACACACACACACACACACACACACACACACACACACACACACACACACACACACACACAGACTAGGGAGGTCCTGGGCTAGCAGGTCCCGAGATCCTAGGCTAGTAGCACGCTAGATCCTGTACTAGTAGGCTCTGAAATTATATATTATAAAACCCGCTTTGATCTGGGCATCAGACTCATTACATTTGTCCTATCTTGAGGTTATCTTGAGATGATTTCGGGGCTTTTAGTGTCCCCTCGGCCCGGTCCTCGACCAGGCCTCCACCCCCAGGAAGCAGCCTGTGACAGCTGACTAACACCCAGGTACCTAATTTACTGCTAGGTAACAGGGGCATAGGGTGAAAGAAACTCTGCCCATTGTTTCTCGCCGGCGCCTGGAATCGAACCCAGTACCACAGGATCACAAGTCCCGCGTGCTGTCCGCTCGGCCGACCGGCTCCCTTGAATGTAAAATGTCCTAGTGGATAAAAATGTCCTAGACATTGAATAAAATGTCCTAGTGGACATTTTAACAAAATATGTTTAATTTTGGGGAATATATATATATATATATATATATATATATATATATATATATATATATATATATATATATATATATATATATATATATATATATATATATATATATATATATATATATATATATATAACACACACACACACACATTCATATATATGCGTGTGTGTGTGTGTGTGTGTGTGTAAAGAGATGGAAATGTTGAAGACGAAACATTCTGGAATAAAACGTTAAGGTTTGGCAGCCACAGGAGAGAAGATTAAGAGAATCCACGCCGATCTTGAGCCATAGCAGCAGCTATAAAGTTTTAAAGAGCGGCGCAGCCTAGCGGTCTGCGTGTTGACAGCCAGTGGGCGCCATTTGCCCCACTCGGCCAATAATATGGGCGCGTTGGGGTTGACCGACTTGTACCCTGCTCTGTTCAGTGGGAACCACCCCATTAACTGCTTTATTGTTATCCTAAAATTAGCAAATAGGACACTAAGGGGAGGGAGGGGGGGGGGAGAAGGGGTGAAACCCCTTTGTGGCGCTATATACTTGATTATACAGTGTTTATAAAGGGTACCTCTTTTGAAATTGAAATTGAAATAAGTTTATTGAGGTAAAATACACACAAAGGGATGAGGTAGCTCAAGCTATTCTCACCCCGTTCAGTACATCGTGTTAATACATACATAGACACACATCACAACCAATAAACATATTACCGAACATTCTAAGAGATAAACATATACATTTCCTTGGGTACCTCTTTGGTACATGCTTCGAGTGGCTCCTTAAGTGTGCCTTCTTGAATGTTAAGGGGAGTACAAGTTGCATTCCGATAAACTCTGTCTATCAGCATTCAAACTGTCTCATCCTTGCAACCTCAGACGAAACACAATACATTACCGGTTGCTATCTTATCTTGAGGTTATCTTGAGATGATTTCGGGGCTTTAGTGTCCCCGCGGCCCGGTCCTCGACCAGGCCTCCACCCCCAGGAAGCAGCCCGTGACAGCTGACTAACTCCCAGGTACCTATTTACTGCTAGGTAACAGGGGCATTCAGGGTGAAAGAAACTTTGCCCATTTGTTTCTGCCTCGTGCGGGAATCGAACCCGCGCCGCAGAATTACGAGTCCTGCGCGCTATCCACCAGGCTACGAGGCCCCATTAAAAATATTAAAGGCTACTATTAAAATATTCAACAGGTTACAATGCGGAAGAGAGAGCGATTCCCGTAAA